GGGAGAGTTTCTCTTTTTAACAATCAAACTCGGGGGCAAGTGCAAGAGAGCGCGCGTGTGAAATCAAGTACACCGTAATTTAAACATAGTTTATCCACTAAATCTTCTGAATATATCTAGACCATACTTATGTTCTTATATTCTTTTATGCACAAATACAGAAAATATTTGTGCTACTCACAGAAGATTTCAAGGTATCTGTCGCTACTGATGTGGCGCTGTGGATTAATGCGTCAGACCGCAAAGTTGTTTGAACTGCAAAATCATTCGTTCAAGTTCATCAGCTGCTCCTGGTAAACCCTATAAAGGGTCGCTATGGGTCGGAATTGACTTGAAGGCACTTAATAACAACGACAAGATACCCTAGGCCATGTGGGTAATGCGCTAGACTGCAAAGTCAGTTTGAACTGCAAGGCTGGTGGTTCAAACTCACCAGTCGCTCCTTGGAAACCCTCTGGGGTCACTATGGGTCGACTGGATGGCACTAAACAACAACATATCCTAGGGAGGTACTTGCAGTATTATATCACAAATCAGAACAATATCTGCTTTTCAGTTGCAATCTTCGTTGCCATCCAAATTTGTCTCATAATAAAAACAATCTATGTATCCCTAGATTTTAAAATATAATATGTATTATATATGTATTTTATTGTAGTTAAGTGTCGTTGAGTAAGTTCCAACTCATAGTGACCCTGTATAGGGTTTCCAAGGAGCAACTGGTGAGCTTGAACTACTGACCTTATTATTCAAACGGACTTTGCAGTCCAGTACTTTAACCTACATGCTATACCAGAACTCCATTATATATTTATGTTGTTGTTATGTGCCGTGGAGTCAGTTCTGACTCATAGCGACCCTGTACAGGGGTCCGAAGCTGTAAATCTTTACGGGAGCAGAAAGCCTTATCTTTCTCCGATGGAACAGCTGGTAGTTTCGAACTGCTGACCTTGTGGCTCGCAGCCCAATTCGTAACCACTACGCTACCAGAGCTCCATTATATATGTATAGTACATACATATTTTACAAGAGAAAATGGAAACCTTGTTTTATGGTTATTTTTGTTGTTGCCACACTTATAAATTCATTTCAGAGGAGTGAGGAGCTTGTTTTACTGAAATCTCTATTGATGGGGCTAGAGGGAGGTGTTGAAAGAGTTAATAACTGCCTTAGAAATGAGTTCTCTTTGCATTTTACTGATTCCTGTTTTCAACTGCTTATAGTAAAAGCATTTATAAGAAAGAGTCAAATAAAAACTTTAACTTTTTCAAATTGAGTTGATGAATGAATTCAAATACTGAATGTTAAATACACACACACAAATAGAAAGAGCCTTGGTGGTGCTTTAGAATAAGCATTGGATTGCTAACCACAACATCGATGGTTCAAATCCATCAGTGGCTGAGCAGCTGTCTGCTTCCATAAAGATTTACAGTCTCAGAAATGCTATATAGGGTCACTATAAGTCAAAATCGACTTGATGGCCGTGGATTTCGTTTACATGCAAACATGTATACACATACACATTGGTTCATTCAATACATGAGTGTCTTCTATGACTGTATGGATCTTTATTGAGAAAGAAGTATTAACCAACCAACCAGGAAGCTGAAAGAATTGCTTCTCTAGAAAATCAAGTACACTACTCAGAAAACTCCTACTCTCAGAGTTTCATACTTGGATGTATATGTAATCCATCTCAATATGGAGTTTGGTGAAGTTAAAAACTACTGATTCATTTGACAGAAACGTATACAACAGCATGATCATCAAATTAAGCACATGTTCAAATTTGACACTGTGGTCGAACTTAATCATATCTGAAAACTGAAAGTTTAAGAAGATATTATGAACTCAATAATAAATGATGCAGTTTGTAGGTTAGAAAATAATTGAAAATAGACTACTTTAAGGAAACAAACTAAATAAGACTATTTCTCTTCTACCTTATATACAATTCCATGCTTAAAGGACAATACAATACTTCTGACTTTTAAAAACTACTAAATGAAGCAATTATATCAGTGGTTAAGATGGCAAATAAAGCAGACAGAATCATTTTTGGTCTTAGACCGGGGATTCCCAGAGTAAGGAAGTGATGTTCCTTGGGGGGAGGAGGGAGAATTGTCAAAATCCCTTTCTCAGATGTTTTTACAGCCAAATTCTGATAGTTTCTTATAAATAGCCACCTTTAGTCACCCCAGCAGTGTTACCCTGCTCCTGTCTCAACTGAGAAACTGAAGGGAGTCAGGGATACATTTAACTTAGATTATCCTCAGGTGCATTTGAGAGTGTAAAAAAAAAAATTTTTTTTTTAGTTTTTTAAGTTGAAAATAAATGATCTGCATTCACTTACCACTGCAAAAGTCACTTAAGAAAGCAGTAGAAATATAAGTTTCCAATCACATCTTAAAGGATTTACCTGGTATGTAGTTACCTCTCCACTTTTCTCATAATCACAGTTGTGTCTAGAATTCTAGTATTTTATAATGTAATCAGCCTAGTACAATTATACATACCTTAACAATTTACTGTTCTCACATTTCTCAAAATAAAAATAATCTATGGAAAAGCATATATAAATGTAAACCTATTAAAATTTCAAACACACACACACACAAAGATTTTAAAAGAATTGAGGATGAGAAAAATATTAAATTTAAATCAATGCATCAAATTTCTTTAGAAAAAGTATGTGATTATATGGGTGTATGCATGAATGGGGGTGCCTGTGCTACCAAATTCCAGGTATCAACAGTAATTTTAATGATTTGTTTTATAAAATAAAATAATCCTGTGGTTCAAAATCCAGATTGAATGTCTTTATTAAACATTTAGGTAATTCTGATCCTCTTTTATTTTAATTTCGCATACAGTATTTTATTTTTTCTGGAACACATCAAAACGATTCTGAATTAACATAGCAGAAGTGAAATAGACACATTTCTAAATTGTTTATCCTGGTTAATTTTGACAAATACAAACTTATTCTCCTACTCTAGATAATGAAGTAGATTTAGAAATAATTTTCAAAAAGGTATTTAAATTAATGAAAATTATGCAACTATTTAAAGTTTTAAAAACTAATCGCATGGGATATTTCAATAGGAGAATTCATTAGTCCAGTCCTCTAAATAATGCCAAAGTGAAGTGAATTCCTCAGCAGAATGAATGTCTATAGTGAGTAATCCATGGAAGACAGACAAGGCTCTTGTCATTTGTAGCCTTAATCCATTGCCTAAGGCATGAAAGTGTTCTGGATAACAAATGTGGGAATCACTAAAATCAACATTATTTTTGGATTTCATTTTCTTGACAATACTGACTGGTCAATCGGCTTTCCGAAACTGACAAATACAATAAGGTCAGTTTGATGAATCAATCTAGTGAAGTAAAGACAGAATCTCCTCTCCCCTTTGGGAATTCTCCCCATTTTAATCCCCTGGTTCTCTTCCTCCTCCTCTACCTACACACTCACACTCACACACACTGAGAGAGCGAAAGTTGTTTTTTTCCACTATTGGTCTGTGGACATTAAGTGATGAAAGTTGTAGTGACAATATTGAAGTCATTCTTCATAAGAATACTAAGCCACTTTAAGTGTTTATAATTGAAAGACTCATCTTCTCATTTCACCATCACCAGCCCGCCCCCCCCAAAAAAAGTTCTGTATTACTGAAATAGAATTTTCCTTCTGCATATAAATGCATTTATTTGGGTGGGTGCTGGTGCAGAGGGGTGAGGGGGTGCAAAGAGAATTGGGGGGGAGGGGTAAAGAAGGGAAACTTTACTTCAACTTCAGGACTCCTTCCCCAACAATACTTTAAAGATGTTAGCGTTGAAGAGAATTTAAAGAGAAATATCAGAGGAAATTTAACCATTTCACACATCATGCCTATATGTTGTTGTTGTTGTTATGTGCCGTGGAGTCGGGGTTCTGACTCATAGCCACCCTGTACGGGGTTTCCGAGGCTGTAAATCTTTACGGGAGCAGAAAGCCTCATATTTCTCCCGCGGAACAGCTGATAGTTTTGAACTGCTGACTTTAAGGTTCGCAGCCCGATTCGTAACCACTGTATAGGAAAGAATAAATAATGATGTTTGTATGCAGGCCTGGAAGTGTCCCACAGATAATTTAGTAACCCTTCACTAGTTCAGGAAGACAGAGAGATCCTCTTTTTACATTGGTCCTTGACACTCAGCAGGGACTTTTGTGGACTTTGTAATCTTCCTCTGCCCTCTAAACCCAAACTAGGGAAGCTTTAATTAATGAGATGTGATGCATTAAAAATGCTAGCCAGAGCATTCCAGAAGCTGGAAAATCATAGATGTTTTCAAATTCTGAGTATCCTTTTGAGAATCCCCTGTTGTAATTTATAATTCTCAGTGGACCTATATTTGTCTTGAACTGATTGTTGAAATGGGCTTTACTAGGAATTTCTTCACGGAAATTGATGCAGGGCGGGAGAGGATGGGGGGTGGGGTGGGGTGGGGAAAAGGGCCGTTGAGAGGAGGGGTTTGTTGGGAGGAGGGAATGATCTCTCACAAGGCTTTAAAACCTTCAGTGGTTAAAGTTATATTGATGAAAAGGATTCACACACGCACATCTAATGCACAAGTTTAGTAGGATTATGTAATAACATGAATTGTAAATCATGTAGGTAGCAGAATTCAGATTTTTAAAATGAAAATTGCACCCCAAAATGGCTATAAAACAACGCTTGCCTTGGGAAGTAAATTTATAGCTACATGCCTTTCACAAGCACGCCGGAGGGTTCTGCTCCCGGCTCTAATCTCTGCGAGATGTTTTTTGCATGTGTTCTGTGACAGGAGGGAAGGGGAGTGGGTTGAACTCGCCTGTTCTCCCATTGTCAGCCAGTCTAGTGAGTGTTGGGAAAACCTGTCTGTGGGATCTTGTGTCATCTCTCCCTACATGTGTACAGGAAAAGTCCGCGCTGCTCACGGTTCCTCTCTCTCTCTCTCTTTCTCTGTTTCCCTTTCATTCTGCTTCCCCGGAGCGGAATGAATCAGAGAGCAGGATTAGAGTCCGACACCAGCTATCAGAGGAGCGTAGATAAAAGGAACTCCTTCTTAAGCACCACTGCAGCAGCCCTTGTTAATTTTTTTTTTTCTTTTTTCTTTTCCACACAACAGTTGTGCCTCATTATCCGGTGCCTGGCTCGATTTTTTTTTTTTTTTTTTTTTTTTTTGAGGGTTTGAAGTTTCCGTGTTTCAGTGACTGTTACAGAAGAAGAGCTGTTAGTGTTGCCATGAGGTCTTGATTATCTGCATTTATGAATGAAACTGACCTAAATCACCTGTTACCTCCAGTTTCCAGATTGTTTGAACTTCTCTGGCTGCACAATACCGGAGAAAAGACCGAAGCGGCATAGGACCTACAGCGTCTGCAGCATGGGCTGGCTCACTAGGATTGTCTGCCTTTTCTGGGGAGTATTACTTACAGCAAAAGCAAACTATCAGAACGGGAAGAACAATGTGCCAAGGCTGAAATTGTCCTATAAAGGTAAATATTTGTTTTCTTTTTCATTGATTTGGCTAGCTTTTTAATCCTTCCCCCACCCCGTTTCTTTTCTTGAACTCCCTCCCCAACGCCAACAATCAAGCCTTTAGTTTAACCTGGGAAACCTCTGTGTTCACGAGTATATTTTTAAGATGACTTAAACACTTTTTTTTGGTTTCTTTTTTCTTTTTTTAATAAAAGCACGCCTTGTGTATGATATCTGACAATTTAAATGCAAACAAAGAACATTTAATCACATTTGCAGAGAAGAACCGCATGCCTGGTACATGGTGATCAGTATATGTGATCAGATTTTATATTCTGTTAATTTATCTGACTTTACTTTTATTAAAATATTATTTCAATGCCAATGCAAAAATGATCTCTTTGTAGATATATATATGTTACCTATAATCATTATTATGATAAATTGTATTTCCTTAGCTTTAGACATTAAATGGTTAATCATCATCATGAATATTCAGTTTGTTCAAATCTGACAATCAGATGCTTAACATAAGCACTAGATCATGGTTTGCCAAGAGAATATAAACTGGAGAGAACAGACTAGTTTTTCTACAGTGTGTTATGATTATACAAAAGACAGTATATTTGGCTAATTGGTGTAACGCTAAAGCCTTTGAAATAAAATGTTATTTAATTCCATATGTACTACAGTGAGAATTGAAGAGACATCACTCTCTGGTGTGAAGTTCTCTTTTAAAAAGTATAAATTTAAGAAAAAACTCAGCTTGTTATGTGCTTGCTAATACTTTATTTGGTTAAACTTTAATGTGTGTGCTTTTTTTTTTTAAATGAGCATTCAAAAAAAGAATATTTGTTCCACAGTTATTGAAATAGGTTTTATAGATATATGTGTAAAGTAATACTAATATAGATTCCAAAATGACACATACAATGGCAGGGCATACTTATAAAGTACAAGTATTATTCAAATGGAGTTGAAGATTAAACTGTTTTAACTCAAGTAGTTTTACTCCCTAAGGTGTTGATTTCTGAGGATTCTCAGATTTCTAGAATTGGGGGTGGGGCAGTGGGAAGCTTCCAATTATGTTCCATTTTTAGCCTATAATATGGAAGAAAATGACTGAACCTTTTTTGTAGAGATGTGAGTCTACTGTACATTGCTCTTATGCCAGAAAATATTTCATTTTCACATAATGGGAACACTTCTTTCTCTAGTATAAATAGAGATGGGAGATAGAATTTTAACACTTTGAATTAGAAAATTAAACACCTACTTAATGTGTTTGTTTGGTCTTAATACTTGTTAGGTGAAAATATATTGTAATGGAAAGTATTTGTATGTCTTGGTATAATATCTTCTTGGGTATTAAATTGAAAATAGATTATATGTAGCAAGAAGCAGAATGGCATTTTACTGATTAATGTAAGATGATTAAAATGATCATATAGCAGTCATTACATACTTAACTTAATCTATATTTACATTTCTATTTAGTAACTGTCTTTAAATTATTTTCATAGTATATGATAATATAGCATCTGTGTTTTGATCAGTATTTGCTTTCTATTTTCACTCCTTGAATGGGTGCCATCACATAATTGTTGGGCTGTTGGTTCACTATATCCAAGTTTATGTTCAGTATGAATAAGTTTTACATGCAACTTTTTTTCTTGAAAATGTGAATGACAATATGGTATAATTTTAGAGTAACAAGTTTGAGATCAATGGAATACATTAAAAAAAAACACTAGGTTTGCAAATATTTATATAAGTGCTTAATAAATTGTAAAATAAAATAAAGTTTGAAGAATCGTTCTTTTTTTTTTTTTTTTAACAAGAAAATATCTTTCCATTGTAATAGGTCACTCTCTATTACAGAGGCATTGATTCTAAGTATGAAAAAAATGCTAATAATTAGAATGTCTTTTGCTATATATATGCTTGATTTGAATTTATCTGATGAAGCATATTATCTATGTGTGTGTCTTTTTTAGCAAAGGCATCCATTAGAATGATTCCTTTTATCTTTAAAATAAAAACTTCCCTGCTCCTACTTAACAGTTCTGTTGATACACCTAGAGCTTGGCAATTTGGGTAAAACAAATGGTGAAATGAACAACAGCAAGAAGAATGAAAAGAATGGGTCTAGCAGTTTTTCTTCTTTCATTTTATTGGTCTGTCATTACCTTTTTGTGTCTTACATGTACACTTGTTTCTCTTAAGGCAAATGCCCGGTGACCAATTGTCAATACTTTGTTTCTTAACTATAATTGAGATTTAAAAGAACAAAACAAAAAGCAAACTACTTCTTTTCCTTTCTAACTAGATGTCAAACATGGTTAAAACATCCACTGCATTGCCCTTAAAAATATTCCAGCATGATTCATGAAGAGTTAAATCCCTGCCCACCCTAATTTCTCATGGTCACTTGTTTTCAAAGATCCACCATTAACTCTCTCATTGCTCAGGTTGCCAAGTTAAAGTTTCAGGCAATCACTGCACTTACTCTACACTTGTCATCTTGCTTGGTAGGAGATGAAAGAGATTTGATATGTTAAATGAGAAAGAAAAAGTAGACAAAAACACAGCCTTTGTAGTGGATATACATACATATCTAATAAGATACCTTTTCACTTTCTAGGAAAAAGGGATTAAATAGATGTTTTCAGGACCATCTGGAGAAGTGATAATATTAGAAAAGTGGGGTATGCTGGCTTTCCCTATGAACCAGCCTGATTTAGAATCCTTGTGGGGGAAGCAAACGTGAGAACTCTGCAAATCTTAGTAGTCACATACAAATTATCCTTAAGAAACATTCACTCAGAGGTACTGTTGCCTTCCTTAGATTTATGTAATACAGTTAAATGTTAACATACTTCTTTTAAAAAATAGATGCACAACTGATTATTTCTTCTACAAAACTAGTCAAATTTTACTTGTCTCATGAAATAACAGAAAATCATAAAATCTAATTGGAATGTATGCAACAAGGAAGTATCCATAAAAATCTATAGAGATTATGAAGAAATACATTAGGTTTTGAGTTTGAAACAAATGACAAATGTCCCATCACTCAACATAATGTGTTTTTCCAGAACATTTTGTGTTTCAGTTTTTAGCAGAATTCAAAGACATATGCAATTCTCAGTGTGATCATGTAAATTCAAAGGTTAAATAAATGCTTTTACCCTTACCTTAAAGTGAGGACTTTTTTAGTAAATAGTAAGGAATTTTAAAGACATTTTTAAAGTTTTTTCCTCCATAGTCAACTTGCTTGATTATTGTAATAATGAGGTTATCAGTTTAGAAAGATAGTCTCATCATATGTTCGGATAAGAGAAAATCATGTTTATTTAAAAATTCTTAAGTCAAATTAGTGAATTTGTTGTCTTTACTATCCACTTGATGTCATGATCACTTCAAAATTAATTAGTATGAATAATGGATTTACTAATAAAATTTGTTGGCTTTCTTTCAGAGATATTCTTTGCTTCTCCCAAAGCAGTATATTTAAAAATATATATATACACATGTATATGAGATAACTTTATACTAAATATGCTAGATATTTTGTGATTTGGAAAAGTAATTTTACATCAATCGACAGGTTGTGAAGTACAATAAAATTCTTTTAAAATGAAAGTATTATATAAAAATGATTTTCGTCTTATGGATAAAAGAGTAGTTATGACAGTTTGAGTCCCATAAAAAGTTTCTATGGTATCTCAAGTATTTACACATTAGTATACATTGTATTGTTGTTAGGTGTCATCAAGTCAGTACTGACTCATAAAGACCTTATGTACAACCCAATGAAACATTGCCCATTCCTCCAACCTCATAATAGTTGCTATGCTTGAGCCCACTGCTGTTGCCACTGTGTCACTCCATCTCTTTGGGGGACTTCCTTTTTTTCGCTGGCCCTCCGTTTTACCAAGCATGATGTCCTTCTCCAGGTACAGGTCCCTCCTGGTAATATATCCAAAGTGGTGGTGGTGGTAGTTATGTGCCGTGGAGTCGGTCCCGACTCATGAGAGATGAAATCTGGCCATGCTAGCTTCTAAGGAGCATTCAGGCTGTACTTCTTCCAAGACAGATTTGATTGTTCCTTTGGAAGTCCATGGTACTTTTAATATTCTCTTCCAACACCTTAACTCAAATGTATCAGTTCTATGGTCTTCTTTATTCATTGTCCAGCTTTCACATGCATATGAGGTTATTGAAAATACCATAGCTTGGGTCAGGAGCATCTTAGTCCTCAAACTGACATTTTTGCTTTTGAACACTTTAAAGAGGTCTTTTGCAGCAGATTTGCCTAATGCAAAATATATTGTTTGATTTCTTGACTCCTGCATCCATGAGTGTTGATGGTTGATCCGAGCAAACCAAAACCTTTCACAACTTCAGTATTTTCTTCATTTAGCTTGATGATGGAATAACTCTATACTGAAAATATACTTTCCTTTAAAATATAACATGCTTAGGAAAGGTAGGGGAGTCGAAGGAAAACTAAAAATATACAAAGCAGAGCAACTCCTTGCAACACCTTTTTTTCTTCTTCTTCTTCAAAAGTATTCGCTGCATACTTGATAATAGGTGTTTGACTTAACACAGCATTTTCTTCTCAAATTCTGTTAACTTTAAATTTTTTTTTTTCTGAAATATTGAATTTAAACACAATGATAACAAAGTTTTAATTCATTCACTCAACAAATAGGCCCTGGCAAATTAAAATAAAACATGCAGGCATATCTTTTGTGCTCTAACTCTGATCAGATGTGATAAGTGCTAGTGAAAGTCTCCAAATTGTGACTCTCTGCTTAAAACTGCTAACCAGAGTGACTTATGAAATCATTTATACAGCATAGATTTTAGCAATTTATACAGTATAGACTTTTTCTACTTCGACAAGTAGAAAAAAATTAAGATCACACTATAGTCCATATAAACCACTAGTCCACCAAATTTTGACAATGACATTCAATTATTCTTTTTAAATAAGTATGAATACTAA